AATAGGATAGAAAATTAAAGTAGCTTACGAACGGGATTTTCCAGCACTTGAACCAAACGTTTTTTACCAAGGATTGTCATATTATAATATTTCATAGCTAAAGGGCTCCGAACATCATTCAGCATAGAAGAACTGACTATTGTATGGCCGCAGTTCCGACATAGCAGGAAACTTTCGGCAGTGATAACTGTCAATCGCAACTATTAAGTCTCGAAAAAACGGTATACAACCAAAGCATAGATGTACAAACGGCTTATTTCAAAAACCCTAAGAAAACGAAAGATAAAAGTAATGGAAAACGAAAAACCGGAAGAAAACCTAAAGTAATTTCAAATCACGACAAAATTTTTGCCATCAGTCAGTCTTTCCGTATAAACCAAAAATTCACCAATTATTCGCCACCACTGCAGCTGAGCGTGCTATTAAAAGCCTTTTTTTAATCCATAACTTCACTTCTTATTAATAGAGACACTGAGTTTTCCTGACTCATCTTTGATGATTTCAGACTTTCCGATCTACTTCTTGATAAGTTTCCAACAGTATAATTATAAATCTCGTTTCAACCGCTATAATTTTTCGCAACGACGCTCCCCAGCCCGCGCACGGCGCAAGGGAAAGAGAGCACGTGTAGCAACTGTATGACGTCAGGTTCAAAGCTCCTAGATACCACTCTCTGCCGTGATAGAAACCTCTACCCATGCTGTTCTAGCACTGCTTACAGTTCCACTGTCCTTAACAAAAAAATGACCCTACGGGTCATGTTCAAATAAGATCCGAAGAGCGTAGATTATTGAATATGCACTTACTATAACAGACTAGGGAGCTGAAGTTTAGTAATTTTTTCTTTTTTTTCCAAAAAAATATTTCCTCTCGATCGCTGAATGGCACCATAAAAAATGTGAAGCAACAATTTCGATGAATCAATGCCATAATGATAATGGGTTTAGAAGCTCGGAGGGGAAAGAAAGAAGAGTATTTTGCTGTCCATAAGCAGTACGAAAAAATCCATTTTTCGAAAGATCATGTCCTTCATTAAAAATATTTTAGTACTCATTTCCTCTTAACGAAATAGGCTTTTCTCATAATCACTCACTGAAGAACTAGAATTTGCTCTGCATGCTGCTGCTGCCTTGAGTACTCTTTACAGAAATATAGCCTTCTCGGACCAAAACAATATAGGCGGTTTATACGTGACCTAGAAATGGATTAAAGTAGTTCTCCCGTAGAAAGCCACTGTGGCTTCACATGTGGACACATGGGTTCTCGGTGTCGCTGCGACTAGGCGTGACAAAACTGTCGCCAATTTAGTACAGAGTAGCTCTCTTGAAGGTTTACTACTAATAAATCAGCAACAGAATACGCTTGGCTCGATCTCTATAATGAGACAGAAAAGTCAAGATATTTCGTACATTTCCCACTCTAAACCACCCTTGGATTCCATTGTA